AACTTTGCAAAGAAAGGTCATGTAGAGTTGGGAGAGGTCTCATTTTAATCAGAAATGTGCGGGCTACAATCATGCCTCATTAAGAAAGGTTCGGGTTATTTTTTGGGGTTTCTGAAAAACTGGTTTTGTAGAAAGCCAGATCTTCGAAGGCCTAGCAGCAAAAACCATTGTCATATTCAGAATCAGCATAATCGATAACCTATTCTCCACAAGATTTCAACAAAAAAGCGAGCGGACACTTGGGGCAGTTCCCTCGTAAGTGCGTTTGGGTTAAATACTTATAAATTTACTTTTTGAACCGTTTGTTGTTCCACTATTTGTTCATAAATCGTACGAAAGATAAAGAATCTTGAAGTTATAAATTTTGATGCCTTAATTGTCGGTGCGTTCTAATATGGGCACTCTAGTATTTCGTATCCGATAGTCGGTAGATCAAGATTGTTTTAATGAAACTAATAAGAGATAAACACAATTTTTTTTCTCTCAAGGAGCAGCTCAAAATTCATTAAACTGACGCAACGATTTAATTATGCGCTTTATTAACTCTAATTAAATTGCTAATCGAACATATTTTGTTTTTGTCAACTCATCTTTACATTACAAGTTGTATTTCTACGTAATTTAACACTGAGAAAAACACGAATAAAAAAACAGATTTTTTTCTATTCATAAAACTCTGTTGTTTTCAGTTATCTAAATTAACGATGATACAGTGATACCACAAACAAATAAACAATGGTATCAACAAAAGTAAGTATGTCTGTCATATACAGATCATATAGACTAATTTTTGGAAGAATGAACAATGGTCAATACGGTGTAACAAAGTGTGCCGTGTAACTGAATAAAAATAATTATTAGGCCAATTATGATTAATGATTTTAAAGAAAACGAACTATAGGAAGAGGACGGAAACGAAAAGGGACCAGAGAAGCTTAATAGACGACTTAAACATTGCCTTAATTTATAAAAAACGGTCGTTTCCTAAAAAAATTTGAGCCCTTAATATTTCATTGTGAGGCACCAAATGTTATTCTTTAATTCGTCTTTTGAGTACAAACTCATTAATTCGTCAGTTTTCAATAAGGTAATAGAGCATTTTTTCTGCTAACCGTCAATTGATGGATAGCGAGAATCTTGAAAAAGGTTAGTCATTAGTTCTAAAAATATCCAAAATGACAATATGACAGTATAAAAAGACGAATATTATGTTGATTTTGATCCTTTTTTTGGGAAAAAAATATTTATTTGACAAATTTTAGTGAACTACTTCATAAAATATTAAAGTTTGAGAATAAATCGATAGATAAAGTTTTTTAATGGCGGCATCTGAAAGATTCCAATTTCTCAGAATTTATGATGAATCAATGACTTCGTATTTGAGGAATCAGAATTACTTAGTACCGGTCATCTCTGACAAAAATAATTGACGGCTAGTGGGAAATAAGAGGTAATATATAAGTCTTCTCGCAAAGCTTTACATACTCACATACTATAGAATACTTATTTATAGAATAGAATACTTACAGAATATAAAAAACTCTTTTTACTCGATAATTTTACTACCAGAGGCGAGTTAGACCTCAATCTCTTGAATAGTGCAAAAAGTCTTGAAACATCCAGTTTGGCATGACAAAATAAAAAACATTGCCACCTAAACAAATCTGTTTGATATTTTAAACAACAATTAAAATGAATAAATAGTAAAACCTAGCAAAGTCGATCAAACAGTTTAAAAAAAAGAAATTGAAAGTTTAATGAAATATGTTTGTAATGTCCTAACTCTGTTCATAAAGATAGTTTAGAGAAAGAAATATGCCTAAATAATTTTCTTTACTAAAGTACCAAACGACATGGAATGTTACATTAGCATCTGACAATGCCAAAATTAGAGAATTACAAATAATTATTTTATTTCCATACCACCTCTTCCCTCACCTTGAACAAATCTTTTTGCTCCTTGAATAGATTCTTTTTCAATTATTTTTATTCCATTTTCATATTCATTCTTCAGACTATCATCCATTGTATGATTCATAGAATAATATGCAGATAAACGATCGGTATTCATACATTGATATGGAAATTTTAACAACTGTTTAGCTAATTTAATTGATTCACTTAAACTTTGTCCATCTTCTACGAGACGATTAATTAATCCAATAGAAAGTGCTTCATCGGCATTCACGGTACGTCCACTAATAATCATATCTAATGCTCTAGAAAGTCCAATTAATCTTGGTAATCGAACAGTTCCACCATCAATAAGAGGCACGCCAAATCTTCTACAATAGACACCAAATTTGGATGAACGTTCACTAACTCTTAAATCGGCTATTAAAGATAATTCCAGACCACCTGCAACAGCATAACCTTTAATTGATGCTATTAAAGGTTTTGATAAAAACATTCGACTTGGACCCATTGGTGCTGGTGCATGTTTATCATAATCCATTTTGAATTTTATTGATACTTCAGTAAGATCATAACCAGCACAAAAACTATCACTATCATGGCCATGAATAATAGCTATTTTTGATTTAGAATCATTTTCATAATTCAAAAATGCTTCATATAATTCTAAAGCTGTTTCATGATTGACAGCATTTCGTTTTGTTGAACGATTTAAACCAATTAACAAAATTTCTTTGCAATCGTCAACATTTTTCACGATTAAATTTTTATACGTAGAGTAGTAACGAATACCACGATACAGACGGGATGAAAAAGAACATAACATCCAAAAGAAAGAAAACAAAACTATTTGTAATAGTGTACATATATTGTCTATTAAAAGCACATTATAAAGTGTCTGCCATACACTTTCTCAAAAGTGCTGAAGAAAATAAGATAGCTTACGTTTACTGCAAATTTCTAAACAAATATAAACTGATAACGCTGCTGACACGTTTATGTTATTACCATTTGTAATAAATGAATTTGCACACAAGTCTTTTCCGATCTTTAATAGACGAAAAAATTATACAAGTCACAAAAAATAAAACAATTGATTCTTTGTTTAAGGTGAACAATTTTATAATAGAAATCAAGAATAAAAACACCTTTTTCATGTTGAAATAACCATTTCAAAATGAGACATTTCGTCTTTATTCTAAAGATATTATTAGTCAACTGATGTACAAAACTTTTTCTATGTTAGAAGTTACTTTTTGTATATCAGTTGGTTGATGATGTCTTTAGAATAAAGACGAAACGTCTCATTTTGAAATAGTTATTTCAATATGAAAAAGATGATTTTATTTTTGATTTATATTAAAAAATAAAACAATTTTTGTTAGACATGATTTTCATGATATATACAGAGATTGAAACGGGTCGGGTCAATATTCGAGTCAAATAATAAAATATTTCGCATTCCATTCGGGTAACCTGAAAAGATTTTCAATTTTTCATGCGTCTTTCTACAAAAAATCTAAATTTAAATCTAAATTAAAAATCTAATTTATTTGGATGCAAAAAAATTTGTTTTGGGATTCTTTTCGGTCAAGGAAAAAAATTTTTGCGTCGGGTCGGATTCGGATCAAATGATTTTGAGTTTGATCCGATTCGGTCACTGATGTTATGTCACGTACTAGAGTCGTGTCATAGTGGAGAAGATCATAGACAAGGTTACTGCGCAAGCATATAGTGTAAATTATTGCGCAAGAATATATACAAGCTTATGGTGCAAGACTGTGGTCAAGGTTATTGCGCAAGGATATTCAAGACTATGGTGCAAGAATATTCGAGACTATGATGCAAGAATATTCTAGGTTATTGCGTAGGGTACAGTCAAGATTATTGCGCGTATAAATAGATCGAGCTTTTATTGTTAAAGAATAAGTTTTTTGTTTGTAAATAAACGGTGGTCATACACATCAGAAAGATGGACTCTAAGAGTGGTTCACTAGCCGATATTATTGTCAATCTACCAGCACAATAACAAGAAAAATTTCAGAAAGTTCTCTTTGTGAGCCTGGACGCACTGTCTACCGGAAGATTCCCACTGACAGGGATGAGCTTTTCTGATTGTAATTTACAATTAGGCAAAATTTCACTAACTGGTGAACACAAGAGGTACCACCGATCAACAGGCTGCAACTAATTGGGGTGTCTATCAACGAAACTTAGAAGACAAGAGACAAGTACAAAGATTCAAACAAGAAACAAGTCGACTGGATAATATTGAATTAGATCAAACGAACAATTATCAATATATACAACATATTGTTTATCGTCCAAAAGACTTTGACATGACAGATAAAATTATAGCACCACTACAAAAAGATTAGAGCAGACACCAACATTTTCTGGAAAAATAATGAGAATGTTACAAAATGATTGAAGGATGTTACAAATGCATTTAAATTAGCTGGTTTTAGTGACACAGAGAAAATTAAAACTATATCCACATTTGTATGTGATGATGCATTAACGTGATATACTCACAATATGGACAATATGGATACCTGGAGCAAAGTCGGTAAAAACCCATCTTCAGTCTTTTTATAGACATCGAAAAGATACAAGAACAATACAAAAAATCCATTTTAAAAACTCTATTCGATTTGTCTTTTTAATTCTTTACCCATTCATGAAAGCCTTGTTTACATACATTCTCAATAAAGATGGAAAAAATCCTTGGGATTTCATCGAGTTTCCCAAAAATGTCAATCTTCGATTCTCTATGACATTGATGTTTCGAAATACTTTATCTCCATTTTTTATTAATCGTACGTATGAATTTTTCGAATAAGAAAGGTTTCATCTGCTACACAAAGTCGCGTAAGTCTTTTTTGCTGAAAATACACTTTTCTGCAAAGAGTTTGGTCATAGTCTACTATTAGTCTAATGATGAATGGAATATATATTTTTTTATTAATAATCCATTACAATATACGGTAGTAGTTGGTGACAGTGCTAGTAATGTTAGGCATTATAGTCACAGCCATTCCTAAAATATATCACTTAGATTTGTGATAAATTCTGCTTCGAGTCAGCCACTCGTTCTCAGCTATCACTAATCGTACAGATTTGGGAAAAAGATCATTCGAGAGTGCATATAGGTAGATGAAACAGCTGAAGTTATTTTTTCGATACATCTTTTAATTGTTAAGTAATCAGCCTCAAAAGTTGAGCATATTTTCAATAACTTTTCTATGAGCTAATTAATTATCACGTGACACTTCATATACATTCAATATGAATAGTGTAGAGTGATTCATTAAGTAGTCACGTGCTACTGTATCAGTCTATACTTCTGTATAGTTTGCCCTAGTCGAGACTCCCGGCAAAACTCCCACGGGACTCCTGTCACGGGGTCCTGTGGGATCCTGTAGGAGTCAGGTGGGACTTTCAGGGGATTTCTCAGGACTCCTGAAGACTCCCGTGGGAATTTGAGTATTCTGATGACTTTCGTTGGACTCCCGCAGGACTCGAAACCTCCACAGAAGTTCCACGGGAGTCTTCAGGAGTCCTGAGAAATCCCTTGAAAGTCCCACCTGACTCCTACAGGATCCTCCAGGATCTCGCAGGACCCCGTGACAGGAGTCCCGTGGGAGCTTTGCCGGGAGTCTCGACTAGGGTGATGCGTTTATAGTCTGAAACATTGTTACCGATAAAATGCATCATATGTTTAGTACTTCTGGTTCTAACCTTAGTTGTCTTGTTTATTTTGTTCTTTTTTATTCCTCTTTTTGTGTTGTTTGGCTTGAGTCATTGTTATTACAGGTCAGTGACCTTTGATGACTCTCACTTTTCGTGAATAAAACAATCTTAGTCTTAGTCTCTGCAGTGTTCTAATCGTATTTACGGGGTTCAAGCGATGTCTAAAGTCTTTCTAAGGTACGTTTCACTCGGTCGAGTTTCCAATCTGCCCGTACGGTGGTTGGCATCTAGTTCTCATCTCTATCTCTAATATAACATAACATAAAAACACAGATATTGCCTCATTGGCTCGATTAATAATCAACTGTATCTGGTCGGTGATGTCGTTAGTTCCTTAAAGCCATCTGTGAAACAGCGTGCGAATGAAGTAAAGTGCATAAATATTTTGACATTTTTGCGAGAAGATTGGTTTAAAGTTATGGAGTATCTCATCAATCGTCCGACGTTGAAGTTGTTTTGTTTGTTGTTTATTTATTTATAGATATATACCACCGACAATCAATTGTACAAGAATCCATTTTCTCAAGATATCTTTATTAATGTGAAATGAGAAGGAGAGAGCTAAAGCAAAAAACAAAACAAGATAAACAAGGAAGATAGAATAATGTATGTATAAAAAGAATGTTTTCCGTCTGTAGAGATATATCCAACACGGGGACAAGGTTCACCCCTCAGGTGTTTGGATTTTTGGAGTTCAAGCTGAAAAAAAATATTTTGATTAAAGTCGAAAATAAAAATGCTATACAACAAGTATTACAATTAAAGTTGATCCTCCCAGTCCAACAAAAAAAAAAGAAAATCATTTATAGACTCGTGTGCGATTAAAATTAAATTAGGTTGCTTTTAATTTGCTCGGATTTTCGGCATGTAAAGTTGATGAATCTGTCTTCATTATCATTCCACTAACTCATCTCATTTTCAACTTTTCATTTATATAATAATAGTATGAGGAATCATACCATTATTACTGCCCATCTTGGCATTTTCATCTCAAACTTACACATTTTATGCAATCTTATCTGATTTTCACGAAAGTGACTAATCGTTTATTTATCGATTAATTCGTATTGTGTTATATGAGAGTGTCTTGTGAAAAAAGTTCTAAACTTCTGCATGAAAAGTTTATTGATAATGCTGCTCACTTTACGCGTAGAAATATAAAATATACAGTATAGTCAGGGTTGCCAACTCAAAAGCAAAGTGTCAAAAATCAGAAGACATCAGCGTAGTTTTTTTGCCCGCAACATAGGAGAAACGGTTACATCTTAATTTTTTTAAAACTGAACTTCATTTGCCGCTTTTGTTTCCCTTCCTTGTCTCGTATGGTTTGTAGAAGAAATTCAACTTCAATTGTATTTGAAGAAGAAAATTTCTTTTTTAACAGTTCATACACATACCTTACAAATTAAGCTAAACAGAAAAAACAAATCAATGAAACAAATGGTTTCAATCAATACTCAGTTTCTTTGCTTTATGTTTATATTTCTGTTGAGAAATCAGAAAGCGATCAGAAAAAACTCCAGAATGAGAAGAGTTGGCAACCCGGACCAGGGGCCTCAAATTATTTTTTTCGAATGAAAGACAAAATGAGGGACGCTTATTTTAACGAAATAACGTCATGTCAATCTAAAATACCCGATGAGCTCAACTAAAGTCACATATTACAAATCAATTAAAATCAATATTGTGAATTTTTTAACCATTTATCGTTGGAATTACACTGTCGTTTCTTCTTATAGTTCTAATTTAGAGTTCATTCTTTCAAAGCTAATTTTTTAAATTTCAAACAATAGATTTTTCTTTTCAATTAGGTTTTATCGGCAAATTCATATCACACATCTGAGAAACTCTGAGACGCGCATGGCAGGAAGAGTGATGTTTTTAGGGATGGCTCGAATCTCAGAATAATTCTATTTGCTGCGAACTATCCAAACGCCTATATGATAATGATCTTTATGACAAGATATGCTAAAAAGGGCATAAATCTCTGCATATTATGCAATAACCCGCCAATCTTTTCCTATATGACGCAGAAGTAGTATGACTTCAGAAAATTGCCAGTGGGGGATAAAAGATGTCCCTCATCGGGAATTTATTTAGTGGGGGGCAAAATGGTCGAACGGGGGACATTTGAGAAGCCTGACCCTGATCATAGTTCACATGACACTTTCATTTTTTATTTCAGGCCTCAACCTCGATTATCATCTCACCATCAGCAGCAGACGCAGTCGGCAATAACATCTGCAACAACGACGCCTGCTACTCCCGCTCCAGGTAAGATAACTAAAAAACCTTTTGAATTCTCTGATTTCTACTTAAACGGTTTTCTAATAGGGGAGGTTGGCTTTGATGGTAAGATGTTACGAAAAGCAATGGCACGAAAAACAGTAGACTACAATCCTTCAGTCATTCGATATCTCGAAGTAAGTGAAAAATCTCGGTGTATATTTCTAAATATGCAAACATTATTATTTTTTTCTTGATTAGAATGCTGTGTGGCAACGAAATTCTACTGATATTCGAGCCATACAGCCAGACGTTTTATATATCCCCCATGTAAGTTGTGTATTCGATAACTTCGCTAAAAACTCATTTTTTTACTTTCATTTCTTTTGCTGTTTAGTTGGTACCTCCACATAGTTTACTCACAAATCCTGTTAATTGTGTTATGACGAAATTTATTCGACCAGCCACAAATAAAAACCGTTGTCCAATTTTTTGTGTTTGTGTAAGTATCGTTATTTCAGCGTTACAGCTACCAAAACAAGGATGTTTATTGTCTATTGATTTAACCGAAAACATTTCTATCATAAATCTAATAAGAAGCTGTTTTACTACTGAGTTTAATCCCTTCTTTTATATTTCTGTATAGTAATATTCTTCTATAACCGCCTCTGTCCGACAAAGTTTTACGCCTGTTCTGTTTCATTTAGTGGACGCCCGATGGAAGAAGATTGATTACCGGAGCTTCAAGTGGTGAATTTACTTTATGGAATGGTTTGACGTTCAATTTTGAAACAATTCTGCAAGTAAGAAAGAAAAACCTATTTGTATTTGTTTTTTACATAAATAATGTTTTTCTAGGCACATGATTCAGCTGTGCGAGCAATGATATGGTCAAATAATGAACAATGGATGTTAACTGGCGACCATAATGGTTTTGTTAAATACTGGCAATCGAATATGAATAATGTGAAAGTATATCAAGCACATTCGGATCCTATACGTGGATTAACGTAAGTTGACACTTTAATTAACTATTTGAATAGACTTTGTTTATAAAAAGTATTTTCCCTTTAGGTTTTCACCGAATGATACAAAATTTGCTACTTGTTCAGATGATAGTTTTATTCGTATCTTTGATTTCATGACCGGTCAAGAAGAACGTGAATTACGCGGTAAGGCTATAGTGTTTGTATGGGTCATTACGATAGTTAATAAACGTTATGTATTTTTTTCTAGGTCATGGTTGTGATGTCAAATGTGTCGATTGGCATCCACACAAAGGATTACTTATCTCCGGGAGTAAAGATTCACAACAACCAATTATATTATGGGATCCAAAAAGTGGAAAAAAATTGGCAACATTGTAAGAAAACAAGTTTTGTTTCATTGAGGACAAATAGTACTTGTTTTTGCTATGTGTTGTTTGTCTGTTGTGCGTGTCTGTACGTTATACAATAGGTGAAAAAAATATAGTAAAAAATTCATAAATGTAAAGATAGATGTGGAAGATACGTATTTAATATTTATTGAATTGATGACTGTATGAACTAGATCATTTTGTTCATTGTTTACTGCTGAAATGATGTGCCTTCCTGTGACAGATGCTGTTCTGTGCCTATAAATTATTAGCCTTGAATACTTTAGTTTTAAAAATTCTTTTTAAAATAAATATGAGTTAGTTTCAAGATATGTAACCCTAGTCCATAATTCACATCTTTCTAGAGAAAGAAATTAGACTATTGTTCTTTCACTCAAATTATATAATTTGTTTTTTAGGCATGCTCATAAAAATACTTGTATGGATTTAAAATGGAATAAACACAATGGAAATTGGTTGATTAGTGCATCACGTGATCATTTTTGTAAATTATTTGATATTCGAAATTTAAAAGAAGAAGTACAATGTTTTCGTGGTCATAAAAAAGAAGCATGCAGTAAGCTAGATTCATTGACATATGTATTGATAAAACATTTGACGATGAACAGAAATCTACCAAAATATCACATTCAATTTTCATTTTTTTGTTCTCTCATTATTGTTGATGATGATGTTGGATCTAATTCTTCTATTTGGCCTTTATGTATTATTATGTCTCAAATAATAATAATAAATGATGAGCAGGATAATAGTAAAGATTGAATATTTAAAATAAATAACTGTGCATAATTGACAATGAGAAATAGGATCAGAAAAACTTGATAATCTTACTTTTCCTCACTAATAAATAAATTATTACTAAAACTTTAGCAGAAACAATACGGCCGAGGCATTGTGTATCAGAAAAATCAACGCCACCACTAAAATTATTTGGCATAATTGCTTTGAGATAATTTTAGTACTTTTTTATCTTCAATGCAAAATTTGTCTTTTTTTCCAACTTTTTTTTCAGCCTTGAGTTGGCATCCTGTTCATGAACGTCTATTTGCAAGTGGAGGATCGGATGGTTCTATTTATTTTTGGCTAATTGGGTAAGTTTTAAAAGACAAAGAAAGATTTGACCGTTAATGAGTTAATTCATAGGAAAAAGAGCAAAGAAACGGGTAACAATTTTTGTCTGCTTCTTTTCAGTACAGAAAAAGAGTTAGCTGGCATGGATGATGCTCACGAAGGAATGATCTGGGATATGTCATGGCATCCACTAGGTCATATGCTTGTGTCCGGGTCGAATGATCATACAACGTATGTTATTTCGCAACAATACCCAAAAAAATCTTCTCACTGTATATAGCTTTTCATTTTAGACGCTTTTGGACAAGAAATCGTCCAGGGGACACTGTTTTAGATAAATCAGAAGATGGAATAATAAGTGCAGTGAAAGCAGAAAACACTTTGCATGGTAAATGATGCTTTTTAATGTTTTGCATTATTTCATGTTGTACGCCTTTTTATACTCACTTTAGACGACAACGAACGTTCGGAAGAAGTCAGTATGCCCGGTCTTGGTCTTGACGGTGGCCTCCTTGAACAACTTCAAGAACAAGGTAATTTGTTTAAATACGTTAGTTCCCTTCAAACTTTATGTTCTTGTTTCAGATGAAGAATCACGACGGCGGGATTTAGGTATTCCCGGACTTGAATATTATGATGATGATGAGTTTCGTCGCAGACGGGTAAGAATATTAACAGCCGCAAGATTTAAACGACGAACAAAATCTAAATAGTTGGTGTACATATGATACTTTAGGCTCCATATGCCAAACCAGTGCCAAAACCATTTGAGAAAGCATGGTGTTCAGTTGAACCATACAACGATAATACTAAAACGGGTAAGAATTTGAATGCAGATAGCGAAACTTTCTCAAATTGAAACTTCTTTTTCTCTGTATCTTGTTTACTGTCAATTTTTCTTTCTGCAGACAATGATGCCGATGGGAATAGCTCCTATGTAAGTAAATATAATGTTGTCATTTTAAAACTGATAATTCATTTTCTTCATAGGATTTTAATGGTTTTGATTATCGTGAGCGACGAGGCCGTGATGAATATTACGAACCACGTAAAAGACAACGACGTGGTGGTGGCTTAGATTCAGATGGAAATAATTTTGATTCATTAAATGTTTTAAATGATGGGCATTGGGCAACACCATCTGATCGTCGAACAACGTGGCGTGATCGTAGTCAATTAACAGCCGAATCATTAGATGAAACATTAGAAGCAGCTAAAAAAGGCATATCACCATTTTTTCAAACAGCCACAGATGAAGAGTTACGAGGTTTGAATAGAACTTTGCGAGTATTACAAGAAGATAAAACACAGCAACAAACGCCATCAACCCAACAGCAAACGATTGGTGGTTCATCGTTCAATGATGGACGTAAAATGAGGCGTAATAATAACAGCAATAACAACGAAGATTGGTAATATTTACTCTCCCTCAGTACTTGTTGTGTTCCGTCTTTTTTATGAATTTTTACAAGATGATTTAATCTCTGTTTTTTTTTGTTGTTGGTACTTTTCTTTATGGAAAATTATGTATGTGTTTCAGTTATTTTCTTCTTTTGTAAATAAAGTAAAATTGTGTTTCGTCGCTGCGCATAAGAAAACTTTTTCTTGAAAGTATCATATCAAAGACTTGATCCTCTGTAACAATCTGGCTATTTATAAAGATCATAACATTTGTCAACCACGATCGTGTTAATCGTAATATTACGCCTCAACATAACACAATAAAAGAGATATTTCTAAAAATGGGGTCAGCCACCTCTGAAGAATTTCATATGACTGAATAATCTGACATATCTTCTTCTAGAATCTGCATTGCTTTATATCCTACGATTCAAAAAATACTAAAAATCCTGTATAACTCGTTTTCTATTTTAAAAACCTTTTCACGCCAAAATTTGAAACGAAAACGCTTAAACAAAAACGGTGATGCTCCACGGAAAAACGGAAAATTCTGAACGACTTTTCATTGTGAAGAGTACACTTTCTTCTATCATAATATTTATAAGAAGAAATTTCAGTTCAGGATCAGATTTTCGATTTAGGTCTTCGTTGGTTTTCTAGAGATCAAAACCCAAAAGAATCCGTTCGGATTTTTCAGAGATCCTTGATTTTCTAGAAATCTAAGGCCTAATTGAAAAATCTGGTCCCATCAGCCCACGCAGTTAGGTGTCTAGTTTAAAATAAAACCAATCCGAGATCTCTAGCTCGAAGTAATACTTAACTTTTTTTGCGTTATATTTAAAAAAAGTGGCCCGCACTGCGCATATTCGAACAAAAAACGTGTTTTGAGAGAAAATGCTGTGCATTCGTTGGTCTGTTTTAGGACTTGTAGGAAAATGCTTGTAATTTTTGAAAAAAAAAAAATTATTATTTGAACACAATCAGTCACCTATCCCTTTTGAAAATTCGTTTTAACGCGATATTAGCTTAAAATATCGCGCGAAACTCGGTTTACGAAAAATTTACCGTGAGAAATTCGTTTAGAAAAAAGCGCGAGAATTTGAGGTAATCATAGGTTGCGTTAAATGTGCTAAATTTTTCTTAAACAGAGTTTCGTGCGATAGTTTCGCGGTTCTTGAGCCAATCTCGATTGCATTGATGGTATAGTCGCATTAAGCGAAACTGATATAGAAAAAACTCAAAGTCCCCACAGTATATCTGATATAGTCAAAGGCTAAGTTTCCCAAAGCAAATTTTTGCGAGGAATTACAAGAACATAACGAATTTATTGCGTTTTAATACCCGGTGAGGGTGAAACCGAAATCTTCTTTTTTATAAACGCGAGAAATTTAAGTTATTCAAACTTGAAACGCAACTTTCTGCAAGTGTAGAACACAAACACTGAAAATTTGCGTTCAAAACGCGTTAAATTCGTTTCAATTGAGTCTTAAACACGAAAAATTCGGTGCCGTTCGCGAGTCTTCAAGTATATTGCGATTGAGAACACGTTTTTAAAAAGTTATGATGGTCATAAACCCGTTTCTCGCGAAATATTGATGGCAAAAACGCGGTTTTGAGTAAGGCGTATATTTAAAGCTCAAGAAATTCGCCTTATTCATGGTGAAACTGTATATTCTCGCGCTGTATGAATGCTAAAACCGCGTTAAAACGAATTTTCAAAAGATATAGGTGACTGACTGGGAAGATCTTAAATTAAGGTTAACCTCGGTTAGGTTACGAAAAAACTTTATTGTTTAGGTAAGATTGAGGTTATGATAGTTTTTATGGGTTAGATTATAGGTTGCCAAAACCAAAGGTTGTCATAACCTGCAGTGCTCTAGTATGAGTCGTTAGAAAGCTCTGCTTCAAGTTGATGAGAGTTTACAGTACGATTTTATCAGTGCCATGGTGAGAGAAAAAAGCAGGAATGTAAATTATTTTTTAGAGAAAGCCATAGAATTAAGAAAGTATAATTTTCTTTTATATACATATGCCTGTTAGTTATTCATCTCCGTTTTAAAAGACAATATCACACTAGTTAATATTTTGCTCCTCTCCAAGATTTTTCGTCGCAAAACGTCCTTAATTCAGTTTATTTGAAAAATTGATGTTGCAGACCTTCCACGATGTTTATGTATTTCCTATATTTTGGCTAATTGTATGACACACTGGCTGTCGAGAAAATCCTTTTCTATCGAGCACAACATTAAATGAAGTAATCTTTTATCATCCGTCATAGACCTTAAACGATTCTTGATAAGTTTCAATCAACTAAACGGACGTTCATTTCTCACCGCTATGACTGGTAAGGATAACGAAAGCGAATAAGCAATAAATAAATTTGGACGATAATAATATTATTGATACCAATTTGAGCTTTTTTCTCTTGGAGGAAAACGTGGGAAAAATACTTTACTTCCAAATAATTTGGGAGAAAAAGTGGGAGAAAGCACGTTTTGTTAACTATTGATTCGATTCGCTACCAAATCTGGACATGAAGTCTGACGAAATTTTTGGGAGAAAAGAGATTATTAAAGAGAAAACATGTCCTTGAGAAGTAGCAGGGACGTGCACCTCCTTACATACACTTGTTTCTTTCAATATGAAATACACGTTTAATTTGTACAATGAATGAGTAAACCTCCTTTTTATTTTCTGACATTATCTTATTCAGATTAAGTTCGTAATGTTCAAAATATCAGCTATAAGTATGGATGCAAAATAAAAGTTTTCATGCCTATTTATTAAAATTGAGTTCGAATAGCTTTGATAGAGATTCTGAAGTAGTACGACATTTTCTAAGAGTATAAACAGATATTCTTATTTGATGATTGGGTTCCAATGTGAGCCTTTAATATTCACATCCAAAATTTTATTCACCAATATCGTGTTTATTATTTCTTATCTCAGGTATAAAAGAATGAGACAAAATGTTTGCCAAGATGAAAGTAACGTCATAATACACCCACTTATCTTCTGTTTTTTTTGCATAATTTACATAGAAAACTAAAATTGATTGCTATTTTATGCAGAAAATTGTCTAAAACTCCTCGTAGATCAATTTCAGAAACAGTATACAATGTCAAACAAACAGCAGCGTTTTAAGTATGCAAAACATGGCATATTATCATGGGTACGGTTCTATGAATTATTAAATTATGGCGTTGATTAACATGTTAAAAGCAAAAGTCAATTATATAATCGAAAATTCTATGAGAGTGCATTTTTCAGTGATATTAATCTATAGAAAGATGATCAACTATAAGCTTTCACACGAATCCTTTTGAACTTAATTTCTTGTCGATTTCAGGAGAAATGGTCTGATGTTGAGGGCCAGATAGTTCTACGAGACGATGAAAATTATCTTACGATACGACGTACGAATGGTTCAGATAAAAATGATCAAACCGCTCGTGGCGGCAAAACTACTGAAATTCCGATTACAGAAATGCTCTCGTTAGGTTGTATTCACAATGACAACAATGGACGTGATCCTAATTTCATACTAGAAGTGAAATTTCGAAGTAAAAAATGTCGGCTTGGATTTGATGATAATAAAGACTATAATTACTGGAAATCTCTTCTCGAGGTATTGTCTCATAAAGGCTCTCATAATGATTTTTTAGAAAGCGTATTTTTTCTTAGGCTGTGTTTCAATCAAATCAAGCCACGACAAACATGAGCGGCCGAAATCCAATTTATGAATCAGTTGCAAGTATGCTATTATCGGAATGTAGCGAAATAGAATATTAGTGTTTATTTCGTAATACATTTGCTGAATTATAGTGCGATTGTTTTATTTCTACAGCTCGTTCGTTTAATGTCGATATTCGTGATAGCGAAACAGAACGCTTATTGAAATTTAATGGTGAATGCCATTTATCAATCGATAATGATAAACTCGTTATAGGCCGGCGACACCATCAAAAACAATGGTCATTCCAACTAATGTAAGAAAGGATATTTATGATGGAAACAAGTAAAATGATATCTTCATTTTGATTTAGTCATATTACAAATTGTAATGTAAACGGAGTCGAGATGATGTTTGAATTGAGCCAAGAAGCTTGTATTCAAGGCAAATTAAGATTTTCCTGTGCATCAGTAGATGATGCGACTACCGTTTATTCACTAATTCAACAGGCAAATCAGCAAGTACTTCAACCACCTGCTCGTACAACTCAAAAAGGAGTTACCACAAATAATGTAACGCAACATGGAGAGAAATTGACGACTTCAACGGGAGAATCGATGCGAACCAGTTCTAGAGAGCAACCATCTGCAAAGAGTAATATTACTCAGCCAATTTTTGTCAATGAAAAGAAAACCCTTTTACTATTTAGATAAGAACAAACATGGGCCTACACTACCACCCAGAAAGCTGTCGTCTACATCTAACAAGCCTTCTGTACATATCTCAGTAAATTCAAAACCAACTCAACCACTGTCTTCACCTCCAGCCACAAAACCAGGTATTCAGATTAGAACAGCTTAGCATACGGAATTTACTATTGTGATTATTTCTCTTCTCTTAGAATCTTCTTATTACAACTCTCTTGAAGAACCAACAATGCTACCATCATCAGTTTCCAATAATTATATGCCTTTCGAAAGAAGTATACCAATCAAAACAACTCAAGTCTGACGTATACCTGATCTTTAAAGCAGTCTTTCATTAGAGCAAATATAACTGTCCAAATTGCCTTTTGTTCTATTTTTATTGATTTGATTTTTGTTCTAAAAGTAAATTAATCCAATTAGCATAATGAACAGATCAGATTGTACTGTATGAGTACCTTCGGTCAGGCACCTAACAATGACCATTTGGGAAAACGTTTATTCGAATTGTATAATTTCTCGCCCTAGAGATCGATTCTTATATAAGAATCTTACCAGAAACCTATAAGTCTCTTATCAGTATCTTATAAAATTCTTATAAGAATCTTATCAGGTTCTTATATAAGATTGTTTAAGATTTCCCATCGA